CCGTTGGAGCAACGGTACAAGGAGTTTTCCAAATACAGTTCGATGAAGTACATGGAATGCCCTTACGAAGACGAGCTGGTGTTCATGGCTGCCGTGATGGTGAATGGAGTGGAGCCGGAGTTGAAGCCACTGTACGAGGCGTCACTTGTCCGTGAACGAATCCGAACGCGTGGCCCCTTCCTGCGGGTTGTGTTGCCTACGAACGCGGGTGTTTTGAAGGCCGACGACAAGGCGGGACTTATTGAATTGGGTGAGTTGACCTTGGAGAAACTCCAAAAAGCATGGTTCATCGTCGAGAAGAAAACGGTTGGTATGATGGAGATCAGTCATCGCATCCTCCGCATTTCGCCCGAGTTGGACGGCGTGTTTGATTCGTATACGCTGAAGCCGGCGAACGAGCTGGTAGTGGAAACACTGCGTAACCTGCTGTTCCAGATTGATGTGCAGCAACTCAAGAGGCAACTCATCGCGTACATTGCAAATCCTGGCGATCCCTCGGTGAGTCTCGCTGTCAAGGGGTCGATGTCCATTACCCTCGAAACGTTTTTCGTCAAGTACGCCGCCGCGCACGACATCGAGCGGCGTTGGGAGGGTTGGGAAGTGGCCACGGCGAAGTTCTCTGCCAATCCAAACGACGACCCAAACTGGGTGCCGCAATGGGAGGCCTTCTCGTTGAACGTGAACCATATCAACCGGGCCAAGAAACCAACGTATGCCGACTTTGTGGCTGCCCCCACGTCGATCTTTTACATGAACGACCCTGGGTATCCGTTTGTGGACTGTTTTTGGTACGATGACAACATGAAGGCTGTGCACGCAGGACAAGTAACCATGTCGCAGAATGGTCACCCGAAAGGCGTCGGGACATTCAACACCATGAAGAAGAACATTGGTATTCCAGATGGAGTCAAGCTGGTAATCAACTACATCACCTTGCCGTTCCAGGCCGACGGATATGCGAATGGACCCCGAAGCTACTTCTTCTCGAACGTTCACGACGGGGGCATTACCGCAATCCAGCAAACCGTCGAGTTCCGCGTCATCAAAATGTCGCTTAGTTAAATCCGTGATAATTTCTACTTCCAAGTAACAGTGCTACTGTTGATCGACTGTATCTACAGATACGGTACACGATTTACGAAACAAATACGAAATAGATTCAATGCAGTCACGAAACATTTTGTTTCGTAAAATCATACTATATCAACACAGGCAATTTGTTTAAATGATCAAGCCATATATTTTCGTTCTCAAAATGGAGGTGATAACAACCATGGTTTAATGTATTCAGGATATGGTAACACTAGTTGGAATACATCTGCTTAGTGATATGTTGCTGCTGCGACAACCGCCTCGTCCAATCGGATTGTCGGATGGATTTGCATCTCAATCAGTAGATGGACCTGTAATATTTGGGAATACAGGAGTGTTAATTGGAAACAATACAGGAAGCGTAGAAACAGCATGTGCTTCTTTTATCGGTACTACGATTAGTTTATTTGGAACTGTTAATATAAACTCTCCACCAGTTCTTCCATCTAGAGTAAAGTACAATCTTTTGGAACACAACTAGGATTAGTTAATAATGCTAATGGCTATGTTTATATGTCATCTTCATCAGTTGGTACATTTACTAATAATTTAGGAGGTGCAAGTAATACATATTTTCAGTATTATTTTGATTCGCCATCTTCATTTGCAAGTCAAGCTACAGTTCCAAGAATGTCTTTATCTGGATTTTAGGTTCCTCCTTCCGTTGGCAATAACTTTCGACGCAAACTCACATTTTGGTAGGGGCCACTCTGGTGCCACAAAAAATGTCAGAAAACACCTCATTTTTTTCGAATATATATGGGCAATTCAGCAGCTGATATCCAATTGTGTTTATATAATGCTACTAATTTAAGTTCTTCATATGGTTTTGGTGCAAATAACTCAGCTTTACAATTTGTCAGTGGGGGATTAATTGGGTTTTCTTTTTATAATTCATCATTTGTATCTAGAGTTGAGCACCGACTTCATTAGGAACATTAAATGCGAAAATTGACAATTATAGCAATTTTACGGCAATTTCAGGTTTAAGAAGCACAGTCTATAATCCTACAGGTTATACTGGATCGGGAGCTGAAATTCATTTCGCTGCGAATACTGCATCATTCTTTGGGTATAATCGAACTACTCAATTGGGTCAGTCATTATTTGTTAACACTCTGGGTTCTGTTGGAATTGGAGCTCAAAGCTAAACAACTTATCCATTAGATGTACAATATACGACTCAAACCAACCTGGAAATACTTACTAGTACTACTTCGAAGTAGTAGTTAAGCTGAATATTTATTATCGTTAACGCTGTGGTTCGATGTGGTTCGATACTAATAATTGTCTAGCTATTGAAAGCTGTTCTCAAGGCGACTATATGACGTTGAGCACGACTTGATGTTGGCGCAGCTGAGCAAGATCGAGTGGCGCCACAGCCTCCGTCGCTGCCTCTGCCTTGGATGAAGATCTTGCCCAACAACTATCGCCGCCATTCATTCAAGCAGCGACCAACCACGTCAATCGCATGACACTCTGAGACGAATGGCCCGAAGGCTGCCGTCCCTGTGGCGGCACTGATTGATGGCTCTACAGATACAAGTGGCGTGCGCGATGCCTTTCCGACCATTCAAATGGCATTGGATTATGTGCCTCTCCACGAGGACTTACACGTCCCGGGTAGCATGGTCATCGTGACAAACGCGGATACGCTGATCGACGCGCCGAACCTCATTCCTGCAGAACAACATGCAGTTCGCGATGTTTCCCTGGGGCTACCACCAGCCATGAGCATGTACATACGTACCGCCTTCGCAAGGGTTCGTCTGGGATTACGCGCATGTGGCGGGGTAGGTGCAGCGCCAGAAGACGCATGGCGTGGATGGTGTCATCGCTGACAACATTGGCGACTTGACGCTCCGTGTCAGCGAGCCGGACTGCCGAAGGCGGCAAGATGGATGAAGGTTCCGTTTATTTAAAAAAACCATTCAATGTTATTTACTACAGTACGTAGTAGTTAAACCGAGATTTCGAGTCAAAAAGTCGAATTTTCATCCAAAATAAGTTACTTACACTCAAATTTTACCATCTTACCACAGTACTCCGGTCCCATAAGTTCGTCAATACAAAAAAACTCCATAAAACGTGCTTCAACGTAATCGACTTTCACGTTTAAACTGGACGGTTCGTTTGAACGGCATTGCCCTGCGACCCGACGACTCCACGGCGGCAACAGCATCATGGAAGGAAGCCAGGTATACATCCCC